GCCGCACCTAGCCATCGAGCGACTGGTCAGTTCCGAGCAAGCCGCTGGCCAGTTCAGGCGGACCGGTCTGGGCAAGTTAGGACGGTTCATGAATTTCCGGTTCAAAGTTCCGAGAAAGTAAGAACTTAAGCATTTTTTCGAGTCGAGTCACTTCCGCATGAGTTATAATCATAAAAGAATCTCCAGTGCCTTTTACCAGTGAGTTATTTGGCTCAATCTAATCGACCCAATGAACGAAGCGACAGGAGCTTGGGCTACTCTCTGTATAACCTACTAACTAACTAGTTAACCTAGTGTTTTGTAGTACTTGTGGGCATGTGGTAACCGAGCTACCCGACTCGGGTCGTTCTCAAATGAAGGTTGTTTGGAACTTCGTTCACTACCTAGTTGTCAAAGTCACATAACTGAAAACAAGGTCCTACACATTCTACTCGCTTGATGAGATTGAATTGCACGAAATTACGCTAAGCAAATAAAAACAAATGATGCAAGATGCAAATTTTAGAAGAAAGATTGAAACTTTGGTCTACCGGAATCTCCACGACTCAAGAAAAAGAAAATAAACAAAGAGAAACATGTGAGCATAGTGATCCTAGATAATCTAACACGAGCTTTCTACACTAAATCATCACGCTTTGAACAAAGTCGAGACCTTTATACTAGATAAGCACGTATTGATTCCTAACACATGAAGCAAGCAATGAAAATAAAGCAAAAACCTAGAAACGAGCATAAACACATAATTCGAAAGACAAACTCGAAGTAGTAAGGCCTAAGCAAAACCTACTCTCCCATCGCATGTTTGGACGAAAATAGTGAATAAAGCTCGAAACTTGGATGAAAATAAAATTCCTGGAATTTCGCCTGAAAAATAAAGTCATGGATCTCCAAACCAAAGCACAATAATAAAATAGAGAAAATAGAGAGGATTTCCCAACTTAAAAGTTGGGAAATGAGGGGTGGTGTCCAAAAATACAAAAGACAATGTCTATTTATAGCTACACCACAAACACACACTAGAAACACACATATTTAATGAAATTCTGAAGTTCGTCGGTCTCGAAACAGGGTTCGGAGCGAGTTTGGGCATGGAATAATGCTGGAACGGGCGTTCGCGGGTTGCCAACTTCATTTCGCAGCGAGTGTTAAGGGAGGTGTGCTGCTGGTGCGCTTTCGCGGGTCACGAACACAAGCTCGCGGCGAGTGTGGAATTTGGAGCTGCTGGGCTCGCGTTTCGTCGGGCGCAAAACGACTTTCGCAGAGAGTGCTAAGGGAGCTTGGTGCATGGCGTGCTGTTCACGGGTCGCGAAAGGAGGTTCGCTGAGAGTGCCAAGGATTTGTTGTGGTATGTGCCTACTCGCGGTTGCAGACGGGCGTGCGATGCGAGTGCTGTTTGGCCTGGGGCTCTCGGGCCTTCACTCGGGTGCCTCAATCGACAATCTCTTTCTCTCGGAGGCTCGGATGGCTCGATCAAATGGCTCGAACATGGTTCGGATGCTCGAAAATGTTTTAGAAATGTCTCATCTTCCCGAACTCAAAC